TATCCCATCCAGATAAAGCCTGCTCTCTGATCTAAAATGCCAATATTAAATTCCTACATACTTACTTAATTCTACTATAGTCTAAATCCCAAACAAAAAGGCAAAACTTGACCTTCAATCCTTAGAGAGATCTTAATATGGTTTTTCATATTTTTAACACTTGTGACACTTGGAGTTCTGAGGCAGGTAAACCTACACAAGGTGGAGCTGCCTGGCCCCTCCATGGACCACGCTCAAATGCAGCAGAAGATACTGGGCAAGAAAATGCCCCATCCTGGCATTCTTTGAGACCTTACTCCAGGGCTACTGGACTGTCCTAGCCACCAGAGAGTGGGTAAGTCATCCTAAGTAATAGCCCTCACAGGAACTGTCGACACTGCCAGATTCGTCACCGACAGAAAATCGCTGCTAAAGACTGAGAAGACTCAGGGCCAGCAGCCCCCTTTGTGGGTGTCTGTCTCGGATTCCAAGTCGCACTAAAGTCTCAGGTAAGACATTCTCTATATTTGTGGACATAGAGGCCATATATACAGAGTTCTTCCTGAGTATTCAGGCTGGTATATTAAGTCCTCAATCTCTATGACAGGGTATTGATGGTCAACCTATGCCATTTACAAACAGGGCCTATTTTGTGCAGGTCCCAGTCCTAAATCTTAAAATGCCTTTTATACAGGCTGACTTAGACACACTGAGGCCTCAACAGCTTCCACCTGTTGTTGCTGGTGGACCCTTCCTCAGTGATACAGACCACCCCCTTCCTATCTTATTCACCAATTTCTCAGGTACCTTGGTCAAGACTGACAGATACATTTTTATCTTCTTACTTGGTTTATACTTTTTCAGGATACATAAAAGCCTTTCTCATACTTGCTAAAGTTCTGTTACAGCAAATCATTCCAAGGACTACAACCAGGTTACAGTGACCCATGCCTAAATCAAAGTTGCTAGACTGCCATTCTGGTTTCACATCGCTCAGGCTAACAGGTGCCCTTCCAGCCCTAAATCTGATCATTCTCAGTGGTCATCTCATCTTCTGTCGCCTACCCGTCTCCGTCTCACAAAGGCCTCGCAGCCACAGTTAACAGGCTAAGTCATGTTTTGTTATCCACTTTGGTTCCTAATTTCTTACATTTTATGATCATTTTTACAGCAGGACTCTTTAGCAGTATTGCCTACAGACTCCAACGTCATGCATACCAGAGACAAGCCTTACCAACCTACTGTCTTAATTTTTATGCTTTCAGATGGGGGAGTAAGCACCTCTCATAACTCCACTCCTCCTAACCCCACGTTTAATTTTCAGAATTCTGCCTTACCATGGAAATGTTTCTACCTCAACATGGTCCTGATAGAATGATATGTCTAAATCAAAGGCACCTTTCCTTCTACCTCACCTGGGTCCTTAAATATGACAGTGCCATGTCTCCTCATAACATTTTGTCTCTTTGTTTTTCCAGTCTGACATACGTGCATTCACCAGTGAAGTTGTCCTGGCTAAAACACCTGGCAGCAGCGTCTACCTGGGCATCAACCTTCATCCCGTCGACTCCCCTAGGCTCCAGTACAGCGCCCTTTGCCAGCAGGAAGTAGTTAAAGAGAGAAATCTTCGCCCCTTTTCATAATAATAACCATAAGACGGGATACGAAAGGTTTTGGCCCAGACAGGACACTGTAGCCAGGAAAGCCACAACCGGAAGCAGGAAGCCCCATCTTGCCCTGCCCCTAAGAAGTTACCTGTGATGCCATCTTCCCGCCCCTGGGAATTTACATATGGCGCCAAACCTAGGACCAATGGGCTACCTGTGTATCCCTAATGCCCGCCTTAGGTTCTACTCCAAACCAAGGCTATTTACAGGCCCCCACGCCGCGTGTCCGCCGGAGAGATCGCCGGACGCCAGCGGTGGGGGTTGCCGGTCATCTCTCTCCGTGTTCTCAGAATAAAGGCCGCTTTTTATTTTATATTTCTCATCTTTTGTTAATATTTTTCATCTTTTGGAAATAACTCTATCAGTTACCAGGATACCATGCCTAGCTCTACATGTCATTAGAATCAGAGATGTTTCCGCTCTTCATGGCATCCCCAGTGCTACAAGACCTTTATAGATAGTGAGAATTCAACATATTCATTCCTTCAGTCAATCGTTGGGTGCCTCCAGCCGACAAAAGCTTTAGCATTGGGAGACAACATGCACTTTTGGGAATCCTGAGAAACTAAATGCGACCAAAGCAAAAGTTTTGAGAAGGAAATACTGAGAAAGAAGGCTAGTGTATAGTGTAGCCGGTCTGAATTAGTTTTCAAAAGACTTTGTAGCTCTTCTAAGAATTTTGGACTTTATCCTGTAAACTAGAGGGTTGCCACTGAACCAAGAAACACCAGGAACTTCTCTTTTCATCTTAGAATGGTTTATTCTCAAATGTAAATGTACTTAAGAATCACCAGAGAGCACAGGGCCTGCCTGGCAAGCATGAAATTGTGAGTTTGCTTCTCGGAGCCAAAAAATAAACAAGCAAAAAAAACCACCTGAAAGCTACCAAGGCGGAGGCCATACAACAATGTAGCCAGTGCCTGGAATGATGCAGCCACAGGCCAAGGAGGACCTGTGGAAACGGAAGAGAAAGCAGGAATCATCCCTTGGAGCCCTCCGCAGAAGTGCCACCATCTTGATACCTGGATTTTGGACTTCTGGCTTCTAGAACTGTGAGATTTGTTTTGTGTTCTTTTCTTTTTCTTTTTTTCTTTCTTTCTTTTTTTTTTTTTTTTTTTTTTTGTACTTGGAATCAAACCCAAGGGCACTCCCCTACTGAAATACATCCCCACACCTTAAAAAAATAATTTTTTGTTCTTTTTGAGACAGTGTCTTCTAAATGTCCCAGTTGGGATTCAAACTTGTGATTCTTCTGTCTTAATCTTCTGCTGGGATTATACTCATGTGCCACCAGGCCTGGATAATAAATTTGTTTTAAGTCAAAATAAAAAGTTCATGAAAAGGAGGCTTCCGTTCATAATGCCAAGGGTCCCAAGGCTTTTTTTTTTTTTTTTTTTTTTTTGTACTGGGAATCAAACTCAGGACCTTGTGCTTGCCAGGCAGGCATTTGTGCTGATGAGCTACACCCATGCATCTAAGACTTTTGGTTTGTTTGTTTGTTTTTTGGTACCAGTTATCAAACTCACAACCTTGTGGTTACACAGTAAGCACTTGAGCCAGAGCTAAATCTCTGACCTCCAAGACTTTATTTCATGCATATTTTCAGTACATCACAGTTATATGTATGTTTTTGTTTTCTTTTGCTTTTTGAGATCTCACTATTCAGTTCAGGCTGAACTTGAACTCACTTTGTAGCCCAGGCTGGTCTGGAATTTGCAATGATCCCCTGCCTCAGCCTCCTGAGTGCTGACATTATAGGTGTGTGCCACCATGGCCAGCAGTGAAGTTATGTTTGCTTGCAGGATTGGCACATCTTTATAGCATATCTTGCTCATTTCTTATCCCTTTATACTCTGCTGCCCCATTTCCACCACACATTTGACCAGATTCTTACTTCTTTATTATTATTATTATTCTTTTTGAGACACTCTTGCTATGCAGTTCAGGCTGGCCTTGAGCTTACTCTGTAGCCGAGGCTGGTCTCAAATTTGCAATGATCCCCCTGCCTCAGCCTCCTGAGTGCTGGAATTATGAGTGTGCCACCATTCCTGGCTTATTTTTGTTTTTTTCAGACAGGGTCTCACTATGCAGTTCAGCCTGGTCTTCAGCTCCTCCCTGTAGTGCAGGCTGGTCTCAAACCCACAATGATCCTCCTGACGCAGTCTCTGAAGTGCTGGGATTACAGGCCTGTGCCACCATACCTGGCTAAGATTTATATTTAAACCAGTATTGTAGGGCTGGGGATTTAGCTCAGTAGCATAAGTACCTGCCTTGCAAGCACGTGGTCATGAGTTAGATCCGATACCCATTAAAAAAATAATAATAAAATAAAAAACTCACATTGTAGGCACCAAGATAGTATTTTTTTTGTCTTTTTCCTTTTTATTGGTACCGGGGATCGAACTCACGACTGACTGGTTGCAAGGCAGGCGCTTATGCCACTGAACTAAATCCCCAGTCCCCCAAGACAGTGTTTTAAAGCAAGAAAAGCAATGCTGGGGTTGGTGGCTGAGGCCTGTAATCCTACCACTTTGAGAGGCTAAAGCAGGAGTATTTCAAAATGGAGTCAGCTTGAGCTACTTGGCAATTTAGTGAAATGCTGTCTCCAGATAAAATAAAGCATATGAAAGGGCTTGGATGTAGCTCAGTGGGAAGACATTGGGTTCAATCCCCAGTACCATACATACAAAAAAGAGACAACCAGTAACCATTCAGGTGGGCAGCATCATAACTCTGGGGAGAGTTGGACCAGATCAAATAAGGCTTTTCCTACCTCCTCTAATCAATCTGCCTATTTTGGCCTGCCTCACACCAAGACCTTCAGCCTCTTCATGGAGAACTGGAAAGAGCCCATGAAAAGCTCCGTCCTGGGCCAGGCGTGGTGGTGCACACCTTTATTTCCAGCATTTGGGAGGATGAGACAGGAGGATCACTGCAAGGCCAGCCTGGGCTACACAGTGAGTTCTAAGCCAGCCTAAACTACCCAGACTCCATGCCAAAAAAACCAAAAAGCAAACAAAGAAACAAGCTCCATCCAAAGCCAGAGGCTGAACGGAAGATGGGTTTGGTAGATACTGTATTTAGAATGACTGGGTGGAAGTATGTTGAAGGACAGTAGAAAAAGGGGGACAAAATGGCTTCAGACCTCACTTATTTTAATGGTATGCCATCTGGGTTAAGAGCCTGTGTCAGAAAGAATTCCTGTAAGGAGAAGTAAAAAGATACGGTTTGGTTGAGATTTGCTGAGTTTGAAGTGCTTCTGGGATATCCAAGTAGGGATGTTCAAAGTCAGCAGCTCAAAGAAAGATCTGGTGGAGGTACATGGATTCGAGAGTCATTAGCTAACAGACAGTAATGGGAATGAGTGAAATCATTGCAGGAGAGGAAATACAGAAGTCTGGAACAAAACCTCAAAGAACGGGTAAGGAAAAGTTGAAGAGTAAAAACTTGACATAACAGGAAAACCAGCTTTCAGAGTTCAAAAGGAGTGACAAACGGAATGTATACTGAGCTCAGCAATGGTGACTCTGAAGAGAGTGACTGGAGCTACAGGTGCAGTACCAGATGGCAGTGGATTGAGCAGTGGGAGATGGAGGTTGGAGACTGCTGGCACAGGCATTTTTCAGGCTGATGGGCCAAGAATGGAGTCTTATGGTCATAATAGAATAATCTGAGGGATTTTGTTGTTGGGACGTTTTTTTAAATTTGTTTTTGCTTTGGGAGGCAAGGTCTCCCTACCAAATCCAGGCTGTCCTCGAACTCACAGCAACCCTCCTTCCTCAGCCTCGGGGCTGGAGTACAGGTGTGAGCCACAAAACCCAGCTGTTGCTGAGTTGTTCTTTGTTTCTATGCTCACAGAAGAGTGGAGACAAAGTACAGCCATTTAGGAAGTAAAAAAAAAAAACTGACTGAGAGGCACAGTATAGAATCTAACGGATAGACATCAGAATTATTCTTCAAACAGGAGGGGTCTATGTCTAGTCTATACGTGGATGGAAGGAGGAAAAGATTGGCTGGTTGGGGAACTTCCTGTTGGGTAGCTCTCCGTGTTCCTCTTGAAGCTGAAGAACAGGCCATGAATAAGAGTTTGTTGAATGGATAAATGAACATTTTTCCTCAGCCAAAATCAAGGGTTAGTAGGGGGACAGAAGTGTTTGTCGTATTTTACGCAAAAGCACGGTGGGAAGCAGGTAGACACTCAAACTTTTAACATTAGAGATGAGGCTGAGAGGAAGTGGGATGTTCCTCTAAACGCGGAGGCTACTGCATTCGGCTGGCAGAGCAAGTTTTTTTTCCAGAGCCTCTTGCTGGGGTTTTGATATAAGCTCTGTCTTCTACGTCTAGTACTTTTGCCTGCCACAGCCTACCTCTTATGTCTAAGGCCTGGAGACTCGTGGTCCTCGCGGAGGACCAGCTGGAAGCCACTTTGATTATGTTCCAGCACAGAAGGGGATCATACAGCCCCGCCCAGGGCCAGGCGCGCCCCCGCGACAGGCGGAGTGCGCGTGTTCAAGCAACTTCCCACCGGCCAGGCGGGCACCTAGCCCGGGCAGCGGCAACCCGGCGAGGTAGGGGTGAGGGGTGGGGGGTGAGGTGTGGGGGGTGGGTGGTAGGGGTGAGGGCGTGTTTGGGTTGGGGGGGGGGGGTTTGGGGTTGGCGTGGTTATCTAAGCGTTGCGCGCTCCCGCGAGGAGGCCACCAATAGAAAGTCCCGCCAGGTCGTGCTCGCGCACGCAGGGTGGGCGGAAGAAGCGCACGACGTGCGCGCGCCCTCTACCTCGCCACCGCCGCCGCCTCCTACCGCGTCCCACTGCCTCCTGTGGTGCTGCTTGTGTGCTCCTTTGGCCGACCTGGTACCTCTTTTGTGAAGCTGCAGCCAAGAAGACTGGCGCCGATGAAAAGTCTAAGGTGAGCTCCATGCCGCCTTCTCTCTTCAGCTCGCGACAGGCAACGGTAGGGCTAGGGTCTGGCCGGAGCCCACCCGGGGCTCCCCGCGCCTTCTCGGGCCCCCCTGGGGCGGCCACGGCTCCGGCCGGGCGCTCCGCCTCATTTCCCCCTCCCTCTTTTCCTCCCTCCTGTGCGGGAGGAGGCCTGTCGCCCTCCCCAGCCTCCCAGTGCGCGCGGCGCGAGACGGGCGGCAGATCGCGGGCTCCCGCTGCCCACCGGCTCTGCGCGGGCTTCTCTGCCGGTGCGTGGGCCCCGAGGCTGCGCGGCGTCGGCGGTGGCGGGAGTCCCCACGGCCCAGGCTTCCCTCAGGCTGGGGGCCGCGGCGGCCGGGCGACGGCTCGCGGCAAATCATGGGCTGCTGCGGGGCTTCGAGGCCGATGCCCTCGGACAGTCACGCTCAGCGGTTGGGCATTCCGGGGAGTGTTTCCACTTTAAGGGCCTCGGGGACCTGAGGGGGGAGGGTCAGCGGCCCTTCCTCAGGTGCCAGCGCCCCTAGAACCGGGGGGTACCTTGTAGTTTCAGGAAGTTGGAGCCTGACATAAGCGACCTTAGACTTGGTGGAACAGAACTTCTGAGCGCGGGTTTTTTGTTTTTTGTTTTTTTTTCCTGAGCGCGGTTTTTGAGGTACCAGGCGGCTTCCGGTGAGCATGGGAACGTGCGTCTGAGAAGCAAAAGGAACTTGCTTCTTTGGGGTGCATTGACACCGCCTTTGCTTTCCGAAGTGCTTTAAGGGCTGCAGAATTCCTTTCGCACTAGATTTTGGTGAACTTCGAGTTGAGTTGAAATCTACCAGGAAGACATAGAAGAAAACAGTGCATTTTACTCATAACAACAAAGGGAAGGGAATATAAGACCACCTAACTAAAAATAAAAGAAAATGAAGCTGCTAATAGAATCCAGCATTAATCGTGGTTCTCAGTTACTGATGCTCCCAAGAGGGTCATTCGTGTGTGTGTGTGCGTGTGTGTGTGTGTGTGTGTGTGTCTGTGTGTTTAATGCGTATATTGAATTTGTTATGGGGCTTAATTTGGTAACTTTGTCAAGAGTCTTGTAATATGTGAATTGCAAGCTCATTTTTCCCCCTCGCCTCTTGCACTCTTTCAGCAGTTATCCTTTAAGTGCTTCCCAAAGAAAAAGACATTTTTATCTATTAGGATATATTAGTGATCGAAAATACCATTTAAAACAATTCAGTCTCAAGATAACGATGCAATAAATTGGGAACCATCACTTAAAATCTGTTACCTTTGATAGTGTGTTACTGTTTCTGTCAGCTACCTAGTACTATTGCAGGGTACCTCTCATATTGACTTCAGTGACTGAAAACAGCTGTTTGCTGTTTTATCGTAGGGAATGAAACCTGTTGATTTGTGCACCAGTTTGGGCTGCTACTACTTTAAAGGGTGCCTAGTTTTCACATTTTCCAACTTATACTTTTTTCTTTCAACAGGAAGGAGTCAAAACTGAGAACAATGACCATATTAATTTGAAGGTGGCGGGGCAGAATGGTTCTGTGGTGCAGTTTAAGATTAAGAGGCATACACCACTTCGTGAACTAATAATGAAAGCCTATTGTAAACAACAGGTGAGCAATTGGTATGTGCAATTTAATTTAATACATTTCAAAAAACAATTTCCTTGAGCCTAGAAACTAAGGGAGCGTAATATTACAGTAACTTTCTGATAGGATAAACATGCATGTATGTCCTTGGTATATCAGCTTTTATTATGTGTTTCATGTATTGATTCCGCATGAAAATTCTGAGTTTGGTTAGTATTACTTAGGACTGTACTATACTGGAAATGTATCAGATTGTAGTCACAGACCTGTTTGGTCCTCAAGACAATGTAATTTTACTTTTGTAAGAAAATATAGTGGACTTGATGAATTTTTCCAGGCTTATTTATTTGGTATTGGGGATTGAACTCATGACCTTGTGCTTGCTAGGCAGGTGCTTATCCTGCTAAATCCCCAGCTCCAGGCTTATTTATTTTTTAAGTTAATTGATTGATTGATTGATTGATTGATTGATTGGTTTGAGACAGGATCTTATCACTGTATAGTCCACGCTGGGCATTAAATTTAGGTTGGCCTTGAATAGTTGGCTATCCTCTTGCTTCAGCCTCCAAAGTGTTGGGTTTACAAGTGTATACCACCACACCTCACATTCTTTTGTTTTTTTTGTTTTCCTCAGCGGTTGGGGTATGCAAGGTGGCACAGGTCTCATCTCAGTATCTGGGTAGTTGAGGTACCATTGCAAATGCAAGGCTGGTGTGGGTAATTTATCTTTATCGTTTTTATCGGTACCAGGGATGGAACTCATGACTGCCTGCTTGCAAGGCAGGCACTTATGCCGCTGAGCTAAATCCCCAGCCCCAGTGGGTGCTTTCTGAGAGCACAGAATTTTATGGATTTAGATCAGCTCCTTTTGTGAAATGAAAAAACAAGGGCCTAAAGGAATTTCCTAAGTCTCAGGGAAGAGGTAGAGCTGAGTCAGCAATGAGATTTGTACTGTAGGGGAGCCCAAGTTCTGGTTTATATAATCCTAAAAGAACATTTTTTTGAACTTTATCTCTTGTCAATCCGAAAACAAGTAGAGAACTTCTTTGATAAGGAAAATCATAAAGAGGAGTAAAACTATCTGACAGAGTAGTTATGAGAAACTAAAGGAAAATGATGACTGTAAGTGATTTAACTGGAAGATATTTCTTGTTGGGGCTTTAAACATTCTGTTTATATTGCTCTTTCCGGCATTCTGTATGCCTTTTCAGTTCTCTGAAATACAAGTGGCTACAAAGGAGTACAACTTTTTTTTGTCTTTTTGAGCCAAGATTTGGCCAGTAATTGAGGCCGCCTTGAACTCATTTTGTAGCCCAGGTTGGTCTTGAAGGCAGTGCTATCCTCCTACCTGAGTGTCTCCTGCCTCAGTCTCTGAAATACTGGGATTATAAGGGAGCGCCACCATGCCCAGCATTTTTTTATTTCTGTTTTAAATGACCACCATTGAGTATACCAGTGGATGTAGTGAAGGCAGGATCCAGGATACAGAAGGTATGTGTTGGGTTACGACCCAGATTCTGGCTGTGTAGCTCAGGCTGGCCTTGAACTGGAGTTTATCTTTCTGTCTCCATCTCTCAAGTGCTGGGGTTACATGGGTGTCCCACCATGCCTGATATTGCTTAGTGTTTGGTGAAGCAGGAATCCAGTATGGAGTGTTTTGTTTGCAAATTTATAATATTCAACAAGGAATGGAGTGGCATTGAATGTTGCTTTCTAAAACCACAAATTGAGTTTGAATGTTACAGATAATGAATTAAAAATTATAGGTGTCACCTGCCTGGTAGGAATGCTTATATTCGAGGAAGACAAGGCATCCTCTAGAAGTGGTGGCAAGCACTTGTGCTAGGGATTTAAAGAAGGCAGTATGATCTTGTTACGCATAGATTTTAAGGCAGATTTAGTGACACCTTGTTAAAGTCAGGGTAAACAAGCGTTACACTAATGTTCACTTTGCCTACAGGGGATCCAACCCAAAGGCACTATCATTGAGCTACACTGCTAACCCTTTATTTTGCCACAGGTTCTCCTTTGTTGCCCAAGATATGTAGGAATTTGGGATCTTCATGCTTTAATCTTCTGAGTAGCTGGGGTTATAGAAATAGCTCCTGTGATTTGCTACAAATGTTTATTAATGAGTACTTTTAATATCTTTAATATGAGGAATGCAGTTTAAATTTTCTTAGTATCATTAATAATTATGGAAGTGGGTAATACAATCTAGTGCTTGTAATTTGAACCTGATACAGGAGTGACTGTAATTTATTCACAATGTAAATCCAACGGTACTTTATTTTCCTGTCTGTTCTTCATTCTGCTATCAGTGCCAACATCTTTGCTTCCCTTCCCCTTACCTTACCTTTTTGTCCGGTAAGTAATGCTCCATGAGTAAAACAGTTGAATCCCTTTTAGAGTAGAGGCATGTTTGGGTCCTTTTGTCATCTGGTGTGAATGATGATGAGATTTTGAAGTCATTCCACTTCTTTCCTTTTAGGGTGATACTGGGAGTGGAGCATAGTCTTTGTGTTGAGCTATATCCCCAACCCTTCTTACTTGGCGGCATTGTTGCTCGGTTCTCCATGCTGGACTTGAATTTGCCATCTTGCCTCAGCCTCTGAAAAGTGTTGGAATTACCAACTGTTCTGCCCAAATTACAAGTGTTTTTAAGTATAGTTACTCTCTTCTGGTGGAAGTGATTTTTGGAGAGGTGTTGTTTTGAGACAGGCTCTTACTATGTAGTGCAGTCTGGCCTGGAACTTGTAATTTTCTTGCCTTAGCCTCCGAAGTGCTGGGGTTACAGGTGTGCACTTCCTAGCCCTGTAGGTAGAAGGTATATATCAAAGGTAAGAACAAATTCATTGCCTAGGCTCTTCTAGAATTGTGCTTTGAGTGAGAGACATGGGCTTGCGTAGTAGTATGGGCTATCTATATAGAAATGAAACTCCTTTTTCATTACTACCACCCTCAAAAACCCTTTTTGTGACCTTCAGTTATCATTGTTAAGCCTGTGATGGATCCCTGACCTTTTTATTTTGTCTTTTTGAAACAGTCTCACTATACAGTTGAGGCTGGTCTTGGGCTCACTTGTAACCCAGGCTGTTCTTAAACTCACAGTGATTTTCCTGCCCCAGCCTCCCAAGTGCTAACCAGCTGACCTCCTTTTTGTAAAGGTTTCAATGTGCATTTTATTTCTGCTCGGTGTGGTAGTTCCTGCCTGTAATCCCAGAATCCACTATGTAACCTAGGCTGGTCTGGACCTCACAGCAGTACTCCTGTCTCAGCCTTCTGAGTATTGGGATTTTTGTACCAAGGATTGAACTCACAACCCTGTGCTTGTCAGGCAGGTACTTATGCTACTCAGCTAAATCCCCAGCCAAAATACATTGTATTTTGAGACAAGAGTCTCGTTCATTGGCGAGGTAGGACTTGAATTTAATCTGCTTCAGTGTAGGGGTCATAGGTGACCATCACCATCCCTGGCTAGCATGCTGTATTTTATTACTTTTATCTATTGTTTTTTTTCTTGAGACAGGGTCTGGCTATGCTGTTCGGGCTGGCCTTGGGCTCCCTTTGTAGCCTAGGCTGGTCTTGAACTCTTTTTGTCTTTTTCGTTTTATTGGTACCGGGGATGGAACTCACGACTGCCTGCTTCCAAGGCAGGTGCTTATGCCACTGAACTAAACCTCCAGCCCCTGGTGTTGAACTCTTGCAAGGATCCTCCTACCTTAGCCTTCCGGGTGCTGGGATTACAGGAGTGTGCCACCATGCCCCGCTGTTAATTTTTTTTTTTTTTTTTTAAGTTTTTGTTTTTTTGGTTCTGGGGATGGAACTCAGAACCTTGCGCTTGCCAGGCAGGCACCTACACCACTGAACTAAATCCCCATCACATGCTGTATTTTAAAAGAAAATTAAGCATCACCTCCTCTCCCGGTCTTTTTTTTTTTTTTTTTTTTTTTTTTTTTTGGTCTTTTTCATTTTTATCGGTACCGGGGATCGAATTCACGACCGCCTGCTTGCAAGGCAGGTGCTTATGCCGCTGAGCTAAATCCCCAGCTCCTCGTTTTTGTTTTGAGAGATTCTCCCTGTGTAGTACAGGCTGATCTCAAACTCTCAGTGTCCCTTCTGCGTTAGCCTCTGGAGCGCTGACATTGCAGGTGTGTACTACCATGCCTGGCAAAGAGAGCTTTTGATAAGTGACTCTGCAAACCCTGAGAATAGCCAAGCAGGCACATAATCCCAGCCATTCACAGGCTAAAGCAGAATAGAGAATTTGAGCCCAGTTTAGTCTCCCTGGAAAGTTGAAGACCAACTTGGGTTACATAGTGAGAGCCTATCTCAAGAGGACACCACATTTGGGCTGGGGATTTAGCTCAGCGGCATAAGCACCTGCCTTGCAAGCAGGCAATCGTGAGTTCTATCCCGGGTACAGATACAAAAAAAAAAAAAAGATGGCCTTTGATTCCTTAAGATTATATATCACTTCAGTTTATTCTGATACTTCATATGGTTTTGGGTGGGCAATCATGTATGGTAGAGGCTTTTTTACACTCTCCTACTTGAAGATTTACAGACTGAGGTTGGAGATATAGCTTAGTGGTATAAATGCCTACCTGGTAAGTGCAAGATTGTGAGTTTGATCCCTTGTATTAAAAAAAAAAAATCGACCATGCCTGGCTGGATTTATTTAAATTGTTGTTTTATTTTGAGCTATCCTATTGTTCAGTATGTGGCCTAAGTTGGCCTTGAATTTGTGGCAGTCTTGCCTCAGCCTCTTGAGTGATACAATTATAGGCTTGCATCAGTGTGCCTGGCTAGATCTTTGATACTTACGAATTTGATTTATCCACCATTAAAAATTAGGAAGACATTACATATGACATGTTACACATCCAGATGTTTTGTTAATAATCTTTGAAGATTTGACTGTGAGTTTTCCAGGGAAGGATAGTGAAATTTCCATTTATGAAACTCCATGAAGCAGTTGCATCTTCCAGCCACAAGGAGGTGCTACATTCTCTTAATAAATG